TTCTCCAGCGTAACGGTCTCTCCTTTAATGGAGACGTTACGCGCATTGGCTTGCAAATTGCTGCCCTGTCTGTTTGATTCGGATAATTTTGTTGCGACAACAGCTAGTCTAACAACTTGTACATTATTGAGAGCGCCTCATTACAATATAATATTTTTATTTTCATATGCGACGACGGGTGGAATAAATTATAATTATCTGCTTCAGTACATTTGCATCCATAAAAGGTTTAAACCTTCCCACGAGACTGATTTGAATTTCATAGAACGGATAAACATAAATTGCGATCGATTTTTTAATAATTATGAGATGAGCGGAAATTGCTACAGGAAGCTTTTATTTCAAGTAAGAAAGGGTTATTGTTTATGTTTTCCTACTTTAAACTATGTTTAATTGGCGATTTAACTAGATCAAAATTTATTTTAATTAGTGAATTGATGAGTCTTTGAAATTTATGAGGGTGAATTGCTTCTCTGGGTATAATAAATATCAAGTTCTTCTCCCACTCCTCCTTCAATTTTCGACGAGGGAAGGAAAATTCCATTAATCACTCTCAGCTCTCCCCAAGCAAGCATTAAGGGAGGTGCCATCATTTTTCAAAATAGAGCGTGACACAATTTTGAAAATTGGCGTTTTTCGTGTAAATTTACCGACGGGAGTAAAAATAAGAGTCTTGCGTGTGTATAAAAGTAAATAAAATGTTTCAGTGTACGCACATTTTTATACCAGAGAATGTAATATTGTGACTCAACGCGTATCGCTGCGAGTGCGTGGGACGGTTGTTTCCATGGCTACGAGAGAGAATTGCGAATCTGCAGAGCACTTTTCTGCCTCGCGAATTCCATTCAGCCTTTCAGGGAGCGCACAGCGAGTGGTCGTTTCATTATAGGGGTGAAAATCACCGAATTTATTTTTAAACCTTCATTTTTTGCACATGCACGTGCTGGTAACTTTTTCCTTTTGAGTTGAAAATGAGAGCTTTTATACACGCGCGATGATACACTTGGCCATCGACCCGGTTTGAACTCTTTTTTTTGTATTCAGCACAATTCTTTCCTCACCATCAGCTGATTGAAGTTGTTGCGTGCGCGTGCTCGAGTTCTTCTTTTCCAGAACTGGATGAAATGAAAGAAGCAATGGCTTTGCCACTTGTTTTCAAGCAAGATGACACATGAAAAAGTCGCGGTTACAATATCCCATTTCAAACTGACTCTAAACTTGCGTGAATGGAATATTATAACTTCATTTTAAAGAGATTCACTTTATATTTTATTCCAGAGGAATGAATTATTTATTTTTAATAGGTTTAAGGTACAAATTTAGGTACAATATAGTAAATATTTGTAAAACAAAACATGCCGAAAAAAATATAATATTTAAAAAAAAAAACCAACAGGAAAATATTTCAAAAATAACGTTTTTGCGCTGATCAGATAAGTAAGGCAGAGCAACCTTTTCAATGTTGAACTTATTAATGGATGCTCTTTTTCTATTTTTGTTTTTTTTATTGCCAGTTCATGGTAAGCTCGGCTTAAGAGGAAATAGCTTTGAAGAAAGCTTTCATAAATTAATAGCGGTCATCACACTCGCCACAAACATCATCATCGCCGCTCAAAAGCAAACACTCGCCAGGCTTTTTCCCAAGCGCATATGCAACTCTTTCCGCCACATTTATTTCCATGAGCCTCTAACAAACGACCCGTGAGAGCAGATCGCACTTAAAGTCTGCGTAGAGCAACACTTTTGTGACCAACAGAAAACAAAAATATCGTTTGTGAATCTCATTGCAAAGTAAATTTGATTATTATCTGCAAATATCAGTAAAAAAAATTTGCGCAGTAAAAACAATTAAACTAAACATATTTTGTGAAAAAATTTTTAGCTCAGTTTGAGAAAATGTAAAGAAAAATTTAAGTAATTAACTTTCTATTGTTTGATTTTCGTCTCTATTTTCTCTGTTAGATTTGATTAATATCATAAATATTATGCTTCTTTAGCAACCTTCTGAATTGAATACGTTTTTAGATTATTCCAATTAAAATTTTTTAATTAATTAATTAATTAATGCATTTCCATTTTCACGCAAAACTGTGCAAATCCCTGTTGCTGCGAGCAGTGTTTTCAAGCTGACGAGGCTCCAATTTCACTTTCCGAGTGCTTTTGCAGACACTTTTTGCGTTGATGTGTTCCTTGTTAAATATAAAAGGTGCTGGAGCTGCCCCTCGTGGCTTCTTTCGCAGGCCGTCCATCTGCATTTTCCTCTCCGCGCTAAATCTGTTTTGATGTTTCGCAGAGAGGACGGGGGTTCGCGAAAAGTAAAATGCCGCTCAACTTTGCCGTAAAGAGTTTACGTGCAGGGGGTTGCAAGAAGGGTATAAAGCAAGGAAAAGTGGCTCTTTGTCGCTGCCGCCAGCGCAAAGTGCATTTTTTACCTTGCGTTATTTATTTTGCTGTATGTCTGCCGGAGTGTTAATAATTATGCATTCTCGCAAAAAAGAACTGAATGAGGGAAAGAGTCTTGCACCCCTTGAGATAAGAGCAGAAAGTGAAAAACTCTTGTGAAATGGAAAGTTTTATCATAATTTGTAATGAAAGAACTTGATGAAAAAATTGAAACTGACAGGAAACCCCCTTCAATTAAAAAAATTATTAAATAATAATTCTACCAAACAAATTATTAGTGGGAAAAAAATCAACCTTATTGAAATAAGAAAACTTATAATAAACAATTTACAGACTAGGAATTAATAATAAAAATAATTAAAATTTAACATTTGAATTTATGATGAATACTTGTCTAAATTTAGTTAAGTTTGAATTTTAATTGGGTCTATTTCTTATGTTCAAAAATTTTTATTTAAGCTCCTTTTGATTTTTGTAAATAGCATTAACAATCATTGAAAATTATGGAAATTTAAAAAATAGCTTGCTTTTTGATGTTTAACATTTGATTTTGGAAGCACGTGGCCATGTTTTGCCGGTTTTAGTGCATCATCGGTGGGTGGGCGTTGGTCCACCGGGGTGGTCGGGGTGCGAACCGAGGTCCGTCGTGCATGAATGTGCGCCGCCCCCCAGCCAACTGTAACACAGAAGAGTGAACGGCGAGTACTCTGGAGCGCCGAGAGAGATCGATCCACACGCGTTCGTGCGGCGGTGCAGTCTATCTAGCGGCAGGTTCAAGGGCCAAGAACGAGACCTCGAACCGAGTAGTGTGCGAGTGCGCAGAGTTAAATTTTCATTCGCAACTCGCACCACAACGCGCTTCTTCGCTCTCGTCTAGCTAGTTTGAATGAACAATGAGACTGACGGGGATTTATTGACGCTGACAATGGAAGTCACGTTTTTGGCCGTAATTTGCAGGCGCGTGAGTTTTGTGAATGCGATGTGAATTCAATCGAGAGCTGCGTTCGATTCAGGAATATTAATTTTTATCAAAAAGGTCCAATCTACCGTGAGCTGATAGTTTTTTATTAGTTCAAAAACATCATTCAAAAGAAGTATGGTAAAATTTTCTTTCGTGGACTATAATATTTAAAAAAAAATGTCATTTTAGAAAAAAGAAATAAAGATTTTAGTGTAAAATATATATGCACAGTTGTGTAGTGCAGATTGCATACATATTTATTTATTTACCAAACTTGCGCTATAAAGTGTTCAAATTGTGATAGTTCCATACAAATAGCATTCAATGTGAGGCCAAAATCTATACCAAATTTTTTTAAATCCTTTGTTTGTAGGTACCAATCGTGCATTAATTTTAAAATTTAAATTTTTTCGATCTATCCTGTCTTTATTTTATAATCATATTGAATTTTCATCATAGCTCGCAATCACATATTTTCTCTGTGGTATTTTCACGTACGCACTGAAAAATGCAATTAATATGTCAGCACTCTGGGGTGCACGCGCTCGCTCACCCTCGAAAAGCACGCCGCTCTATGCAACCAACTCTCGACGACATACCAGACCTTTCTCGCAATATTCGCCGAGAAATAAAATGAAGCGAATGAAAGCTGTGAGCTCGAGGGCGGTCTGCTGCACAGTTTGTTTTATTGATCTTTGCCTTGGCTTCGGAAACGACTCGCAGACATATCATAAAAAGAGCGCACTCCAAACTGCAGTTGTTGCAGCGAATTATTCTTTACTCCCAAGCATAGCCGCTTTCTCACCCTTTATTATACTTGCTTAAGGGGAAGGAAAATGTTTGGGCTTTATCTTTGTTAATAAGCATTAAGATGCTGAACAGTAAATATTATACGATGTTCTTGTGTTACGACTCTCGCAGAGGAAATTAACGATAAAAAAAAATTCGACTGTATCTAATAGGAAGAAATTTTATAATTTTCTCTGCGTATAATGAAATGAAATTATTGAAGTTGTATCTGTCACGAGAAAATTAAACATTATAGTTTTAACGACTTAAACTCTACGGTGACGGACGAGAGCTATATTTTAATTAACCAAATTAACCGCTTCACATTTTGGCCCCGAGTTTCTTTTTACGAGGCCCGTGGGTCTTTTTGTTCGTAGGGGCATGTTTATTTTCGTGGGCTCCGCACGCAATATCATTTTTTACGGCTGGAGAGGAAAGAAGTGGCTTCCCGAGCAGTCACGGGGCGAGATAAATAACGATAATATGCCAGTCCTCTTCAAGTTTAATATATTGTCATTGGGACAGAGGCCATTAGGTCATAAAACCAGAGGCGGTCGAACGACGATATTAAACTATAAACGCATTTATTGAGGTGCAGTGCACGGATCATTGCACAAAATTGAATCTTGTCACATTGTACTTCATATGACTCTCATCTTGATGGGGCTCATACAATGGTCACTGGCTTTGGTGTGCTTTGCAATAAAGTTGATGAACTTATTATCATTGTTATTTATTATTTTTGTTTAGTCTTGGAAATTCGCCATTTTTCCCTTTTCGTCTTGTTTTAATTGAGTTAACTTAACTGTGAAATTTGTTTTTAACTTATTTTCAATTTTGTTCACAGCTTTCGGCGCTGCGGACGACGGCTCGATGGGCCCCGTCTTCATGCGAGAGCCGCCCAATAGGGTCGATTTCTCCAACACCACCGGCGCTCAGGTTGAGTGCTCGGCCCGAGGATCCCCTGCACCTGAAATCATTTGGGTCAGGGCAGATGGTACTGCTGTTGGCGACGTTCCTGGATTGCGACAAGTAAGTTGAATTAAAGGGAATAGGAAAAGTTAATTTTTATTTTCATTCTAGTTGTTTAAAACATTTCAATATAATACAGGCTGTATAAATTTTTATAAAAATAGTTTATTTATTTTACATTAATACATATTCTGTTCAAAGATTTTTAACGTCTTTATTTTACAATAAATTCTTTGATTATTGAAATATTAAACATATTTTATTATTAAATATTTATTATTTTTATTATTAATTATTAAAATTATTTTATTGAATAATATAACTTTAAAACATTTCATTTTAGGTTAACTTTCTCTTTGATTAATTATGTTTGTTAAAAAATTAAATATAATTATTTATAAATCGTCTCTGGGCTTGATCATCACATCAAAAGAATCATATCACTAATGCACGATGTTGCTATTAACGATATCGTTAAGGAGAATAATTAAATACAATTAAAGATATTTTCATTCTTTACGTGTCAAATGTGATCTAATTAAACTTAACGAAAGCCAATCAAACATTTATAACAGAATTTTGAAGTCTGTATTTCAATAAAATATAATTAATAAGTACATAAATTTTTTCCTGTCAAGTAATGAGGAAATTTATTCAAAATTTTCAGGTGATGCCAAATGGCAATTTGGTGTTTCCACCTTTCCGCGCCGAGGACTACCGGCAAGAGGTGCACGCCCAGGTCTATGTGTGTCTGGCGCGCAACTCGGTCGGCTCGATCCACTCGCGAGACGTCCACGTGCGAGCAGGTACAGTCGAGCGCTCTGATTTTATTTGCTCTTTTCCACCCTTTGAGAGATTTTGTCGCTCCAACGGCACCAAAACCAACCCCTCGGGCGCCGAGGGTGAAGCGCACCCTCGCGCTCAATCGGGCCGCAAATCGAGTTAGCTCACCTGAAACTCGATTCTCTTCCGCGTGTCTCTTTTAATTGTCAGTGAGAGAGCGAGACGAACCTTTGGGCAAACTGAGAGCTAATTCATTTGCGGTGCGCACGGAGGCTGCCTTGATGCAATTTTGTCCTGATTGTTGTTTGTTCGTCGTCTGCGGCGGTGTTTGCAGCTGAGAAGGAGTTTAAATTCGACAAAAGCAAACGAATCAGACAAATTTGCTAAAAGTTTTAGGTTTTGGTGCAGGTTGGGCTAAAAATTTGTTCAAAATTGAAAAAAAAAAAATCTCAAAAGTTAAAAAATTAAAAAAAAAATAAAGCTGTTTGAAAAGTAAAATAATATTGAATGTTTTGAGAGTTTTTTTTCCAATTTATAGTTTTGGAAAATTTACTAAGTGAATTCAGTGGTTTCATGACATTATTAGCCACGAATACTAAGTAAATTTTTTCCAAAACTTCATTTCTATTTTTGATCAATTCAAGAGCGTGAACGGAAAACTTTTAATTATGAATTTAAGAAGAAAAAAAATCAAATATTGTTCCTTTCAAAATTAAAAAAATTAAAATAAAAGTTTTTCTTTGCCGCATCTTGTGATTTTGATTAAATTCATGTTGTGAATCATATTTTATGTCATTTTGCACCACTATCACTTTGTGAATAAACCCCTTTCGTTTTGCAATTAAATTCCTAAATGCAGCTCGATATTTTTCGTATCCTCGTTCATTGCCGATGTGTGTGCAGGGAGCAGACCGTCCGGGAGATAATTAATTAATGCAGCCGGCTTATCATTGCATGCACAGTGCGTTTTGTTGTGACGCTCTCTCTGCCGCGCGTGTGTGTGCAGACCGACCCGGACCGACCCCTCTATTCTCATCGCGGACAATAAAACGCAGCGGCAGAGAGGAGATCACGTTGGCTGGTGTGTGCGGAGAGGAGACTCTCGCGGTGATTCTAAATTGCATGCGCCGGGAAGAGTAATTAATATTGACTTGCACCCTCGAACTGTGCAAATCAAAGTGATAGCGAAAGCTGCTGACGATTGTTTGCTTTGTTGTATACCACGCACGACAAGGCTATGTTGGTGAAGCTAAAAGCAAATGCTCTGGGCAATAATATTTGCGCAGATTATACATTTATATAATATATTTTTGTATCAAAAAATTAAAATTAAAACTAATTATTAACAAAATTTATTACTCTATATTATAATTTCGATTATTATTATTTATGTTTATATTTATTGAATATTTATAAATTTATTTTAATCATGTTGTGCTATTATATTTTAGTTTTACCAACGCATTCTAGTACTTGCAAAATACTATTAAAAATCGTCTATAACATTAATATTTTTTAATAAATTTATTACTATTCAAGCAAAGATATTTTTGTAAACTTTTAAAAGGTCTTTTTCTCTTCTTGGGCAGATCAAATTTAATAAAATAATGAAGCATCATGAATAATAATTAAGTGGGCATATATTTCAATTTGCAATATCCATAACTCAGAATCTGTTGATAGATTTTAGTTACAAATAATGTATTCAATTTCAAACGATTAAATTTTGATCTGTCCAAGAGAAGAAAAATTAAAGATATTTACGATTAAACAATAGAAATTTTGAAAAATACTGTAAAATTGAAATTAATTGAATCATTAGTCTATTTACGGCTTCACCAACTACTGCCAAAGTCGCGCTGGTTACGGGGTTACATATTTTCATGCACCGCAAATCTGTCTCTCGCATCACCCAGCACACATACATATATGTATTTTCCGCGCCCTCTGACAAAAGCAGCCGCTCGCTGCGCCGGAAAAACGAATTCCTGTGGCGCCATAATTGCCCGTGATTGATTTTCCGAGAGTGGCGACGGCAGAGCTTTCGGCTGGAAAAGCCCGTAATCTCTCTCTGGTAGCCCAATTGCATGCAAATCTCTTTTTGTCCCGACGTACATACATAAAAAATCTCATTTCGCCTATACTGAAAACGTGTGTAAACTCCAATCTTTTCATATATAAATTGGTGAGGAACATGTCTTTGTGTGTTTGTGATGTGGGAAATGGATTTTTTTTTATTCGTTGAATAACACCACCAAAATCACTTATAATGTCATAATTTGTTTTAATAAATCACATGTCACGATTTAAATAATTGATAATTTTCTAGGCAGCGAGCACGACAAAAAAACTTGATTGCTGATTTATTTTCAGTAAAAACATACATTTTCCACATAATTATTTTTGCTTTTACAAAATGGAAAGGTTATCTTCAAGAGCATGATTTTTTAAAGGGTTTTAACAATTTCAGAAATTTTTAATGGATGTTATTTCATCATACAATCATTTTAAATGGTAACTTTGTAACTTTCAGAAAATTAAAATTCCTCAGTTGTTGAGATACATGAATGTTTGATTTTTTCCAAACGCTTGACGAAGTTGTTTAAATTTTCAAAACTTCCCTTAAGCTGCAGCCTTTGATATGGGCCCTTAAATATTTTTAAACATAAAAAAATTCTACATTTATCAATTTACAGACCCTTTAATGCATTTTTTTGATTACAATTTTTTTAAATTTCAAATGAAACTATTAAGAAAACGCATTTAAATCTCCTCTCTACACAGATAAAACAATTAAAATCCACCCCAAGCAAACAAGTTTAAATCTCTGAATTCGTGTGAATCATCTGCTCTGTACAAACCTTTTGAAAGTGTGGAATCTCCAAGCCACGCTACGTTTTTTATCAGGAGAAGAAAAGAAAAATGCCTTGGAGATAAAAGCAAGAATTATGCAAACACGCTCCGAGTGGAGATAAATTTTTGGGAGGAGCTGGTGTAATAAAAATATTTGTGGTCCACAGTGGTGCAGCAGGAGTACGACACCGACGTGAACAAAGAGTACGTGATCCGCGGCAACTCGGGGGTGCTCAAATGTCAGGTGCCGTCCTTCGTGGCTGATTTCGTGCACGTCGTCTCCTGGCAAACGGACCAGGGCGAAACCTTTGTCATTGACCAAAACTACGGTAAAAATGAGCAGGATTCAGTGAAAGCCGAAAAAAAATGCCATCTCTCACGAATATAAAAAACAAACACACAAAGAAATTTCTTCCAATGAAATTAATGCTTTTTATTCCAGGAAAAAATTGTCCTTTGATCTTCAGTTGGAGAATTTCATAAAATTTGTTTATTTTCTTTGGTTTTCCTTTACGGTCAATCAAACTTTTGATCGTTTTTAGTGGTGCAACAGTTTTACCAAAGCGAGGTGAACAATGAGTACGTGATCAGAGGAAACTCTGCGGTGCTCAAGTGCAGCATTCCGTCGTTCGTCGCCGATTTTGTCAGCGTCGTCTCCTGGCAGGACGACTCGGGAAACACTTTCCACGCCTCTGGCGAACAGCACGGTACCTTCTTTCGTTTTGGGAATAAAAAAAACCTTTGATTTTATCTTCTAGAAATTTAAAACGCCTCTCCACTGATCTTGCTTCTCTTGCAGCGCCCGAAATAGCCCTCCCCACAAAACACTGATTCAAAAAATTCTTCCTCCACAGGCATGTCGCGCGTATCTCCCTAATTTATGTGTAAACAGGAGTTTGATTATCTTGGATTCCTTTCTATATAGATGCTGAGTGTTTGAACTCATAAATTAATTGTTTAATCTCTGTAAACGGGCTACCAAGGCCTTTTTTTTGTAGAACATTAAAGAAAATATTGAAACTAGAAAATTAGAAAAATAGCACAGCTAATTTTACAAAAGTTCAAAAGATATTAAAGAAATAGGTTTAAAAGTCTTTAAACTATATAAATTTTATTTAAGTAACGTTAAAATATCAATTTAATATATACGTTCTTAATTATGTAAAAAAGGTTGAAATTTTTAATTATATTTAAAATATGGGATTACTCTTTTATAAATAAATTTTATTTACTTCACATAAATATTGTAGAATAATATATTTTGTAAAAAGGGTACTCCATAAGTTTTATTTTCTATTGAAAAAGGTCACTTATAATTTCTGAGTAATTTCATGGTTGTTTTCTTTTTTAGAATAGAAAGAACACCTAAATTTAAACTTAACTTAGGAAAAAGAAATTTTGTGGAATTGTTTAAATATAATAAATTAATTTTTTCATTCAAAATTTATAAAAATTATAAAATTAATTTTAGGTAACTCAAACATTCATTTTTGTTTGCAAATTACGTTCACAATGATTTTTTAATAGTTTATAGTGCAATAAGAAGCATGGAGTTAAATTTAATCTCTCTCCTGTTCTTCATCCACCCCGATTAATTTTCCCGCACTACTAATGACCCTCTGGCCGTGTCACCTGCGCAGTGGTCACGCAGTACTACGAAGCGGAGGTGGTGTCCGAGTACGTGATCCGCGGCAACACGGCGGTGCTCAAGTGCACCATCCCCTCGTTTGTGGCCGACTTTGTGCGGGTGGAGGCGTGGGTGGGCAGCGACAAGAGCGTCTACACGCCGTCGGCCGACTACGGTAATTAGCCCGAGCACAACCACTAATCCCGGCCCTCTGTCTCTTTGTCCCGCCAGTGGTGAATCAATTTTATGAGGCTGAGATCATGACCGAGTACGTGATCAGGGGCAATGCCGGGCTGCTCAAGTGCAGCATCCCGTCGTTCGTGGCCGACTTCGTGCAGGTCGAATCGTGGGTTGACGACTCGGGCAAAATTTTTGTCCCGTCCGAGCACTACGGTAAAATAATAAAACTCCCCTCGCAAAACCACTCATGAAACTAATAAAATTTTATAATGCATTTTCAGGCAAAATTAATATACTTTTTGATATTTTGCAGATTTTATTAATTAATAAATTTAACTAATATTTTGAAGTGAAAAACCGGCTTGTCTTTGTAAAAATTATTTCTCAATAAAAACAAGAAGAAAGGCCTGATTAATTTTCTCCTTATAGTAAACAATTTCAAAATATTCAAGCTTGTTTTTCACTTCATAAAATTTTATTTCCACTTCTAGTTTTTTTCTATTAATTTTCACACACCCTTTCGTAGTTGTTTCGCAATATTTCGTGACTGAGGCGGAGAACGAGTACGTTATTCGCGGCAACAGCGCTGTCATGAAGTGCAAAATCCCCAGTTTCGTGTCCGACTTTGTGTCCGTCGAGGCATGGATTTCGGACACTGGGGAAACGTACACCGTCTCCAGCAGTCAGCACGGTAATGGCACCCCCCGCTCCGACTGACCTTCCTCTTATTTCCAGGAATCACCCCAATACTAATTTTATTAATAATTTTTTTTAATCATGAAACTTATAATTCGATTTCGAATCCAAAGTGGTGTCCCAAGCGTACGAAAGCGAGGCGGACAACGAGTACGTCATCAGGGGGAACAGCGCCATCATGAAATGCGAGGTCCCCAGTTTTGTTGCCGACTTTGTCAGTGTCGACCTTTGGACTGATTCTGACGGCAACAACTACCACCCCTCTAACGAATATGGTAATTTCCCATCAACACCCTTTCTAACAAATTTAAAATTTTCAGATTATTTACCAAAAGCTAATAAATTCAAATTTTCAGCATTTTACCAACAAATAAATAATATCAAAATTTTCAGCCCATTTTTATAATTTTTGAAAAATGTGAATTTCTCCAATAGTTGTGCACCAGTTCTACCAAACGAGGGTCATTGACGAGTTCGTCCTGAAGGGAAACACAGCCACTTTAAAGTGTCTGGTGCCCAGTTTTGTCAGTGACTTTGTTGAGGTGGTCGAGTGGATGACTGACGACCAGTCCTACTCGCTCGCCTCCAACATCAACGGTAATTCCGCACCCTGACAAAACTTGTTCTTTCTTGTTGAATGACAAAAATTTTCCTCTTGCAGATCAATATACTGACAGAAATTTTCATTTTCAGAATTGTTCAAAATTTTTAACAAAGGGTGGATAAGAGTTGAAAATTAATCTCTGTTGCAGCCGTGAACCAGTATTACGAAGCACAGGTGTACGATGTGTTTGTAATTAAGGGTAACGCGGCCGTGTTTAAGTGCAACATTCCCTCGTTCGTCAGCGACTACGTCGAGATCGTGTCCTGGGCGGACACCGAGGGCACCCAGTACCCCATGGCCTCGTCCTATGGTACTTCAAAATGTCCACCAAATATTTATTTCAAAAATTATCGACATAAATTTGGGAAATTTTTGTACAAGTAATTGAGAAAAACTAAATTTGATAACCCTTTTCTTGTCCTCGGCAGTCACCACTAACTCTGAAAATTTCTAAGTCCCGTTTTAAGCTAGTTTTGCGTCGCGGCCGCTTGGGGCGCCAGCGTGCAGCAGCTCACGGCGGCGCAGCATACCCGGCAGGAGTCGTTCGGATGGCCAGTCTGCTTGCTGTGTTTTCACTCAAATTCTAATTGGGGTGTTTGCGTTTGTTTTGCCAGTGGTCACGCAGCACTACCAGGTCAACGTGATGGACGAGCACGTGCTCAAGGGCAACACGGCCATCATCAAGTGCCACATTCCCAGTTTCGTGGCCGACTATGTTTCTGTCGCATCTTGGGTCGAGGACGAGAAAAGGGACATACTGCCCTCCAAAGAATATGGTACATACAAAACATGCAATGTATTTTTTGTCGCCCAATTTTTGGCAACCCCTGTCCAAACTTGCAGCACAGAAGTTATATCAATTTTGTTCTAAATGAATTCTTAGGTGCTGCAAGCGTGGATAAATTTTATTTTATTGATTCATGTATATTCAACAAAATAATTTTATTCAGATTTAATGTTGGATTCACCTGACCATCAAGGAGCTGGCAATTTGTGAACTTATTTTTAACGCTATCTAATTTTTAGCCTCCTAAGTGTTCCAGTCAGCAGATTTACTTTCATTTATCAAAAAAAATTATCAATATTTTATAAGGAATTTATCTCATGAAAATTTATCCATGGTTAATATTTTTGGAGGAACTGTAACATTGTCTAAATAAAACTTATTATCTTATAATCAATTGAATTTAATACAGAAGTTTGTTTTTTATTAAATTTTTAATTACTAATTTTGAGTAGAATTTCAAAAATTTAAAGAGTCATCAATTTCAAACACTAAAAAATAGACAACAAATTTTAATTGGGATAGTTACAGTTTCTCACTTTATGTGTGTGATTTTTTGTGTAAAAACTTTTATGAGAGATGGCAATATTTTGAGGCATTTTATACATTTTAAGGCATTTCATTGTTGCAAAACCATGCTTCTTTTATTAGCAAGTAATTAAAAAGATCTTTTGTTTTATCATTATTTTATCTAACTCAGATAAAATATAACAAAGTAAAAGAACCAAGGTTTTACAATTGAAGACTTATTTGATTTATATTTTTGGAGACACATAACGTTATAAAAAAACTTCATTAAAAAACTGAATCACCAAATGTTTGGTACAGTAATTTTTATTAACCTTTCATAGCTATTTGCCTCCAAAAATTGTATACTACTTTAATTAAAAATTCAAGCTTTTTGCTTTTTCTATTGAAATAAATTGAAAGCTTTTATTAATAATAAAATATCAATTTTTTTTTACAAAAGCAGAAAGCTTGAAATATTTGAATTACTTGTTTTACAAACATTTGTTTGCTTTGCTTCATATTGCTACAGCAAATATCCCTCAACTCTTTGCCATTGAAATTTAAAGTAAAATAAGGCAATAAGTTGGGATTTTAGTAGCACTGGCACTGCAAACGTATCTGCGCACTTCCTTTACACACGTTCCATTTCCAGATGGAAAATATCTAGTCCTGCCTTCGGGCGAATTGCACATCAGGGACGTTGGTCCCGAGGATGGTTACAAGTCCTACCAATGCCGCACCAAACACAGATTGACGGGCGAAACTCGCCTCAGCGCAACCAAAGGTCGATTGGTCATCACCGGTAAGTCCGCGAAATGCAATTTATTTTTCAGATAAAAATCAATTAATTACATAATCTCTCCTTCTTCGGGTCAGTTTTCTCCAAGCAAAGTGGCCTCTTCGGAGGACGGTTTGTCCTAGAGAGTTCACTGACCTCGAAAAAGGCAGCAGAGACCGAGTTAGGGCGTAACAGGTGGTCTATTGGGGTGGGTCTCTTTTGTTTGTCAATCTGCCAGCCAACTGAGAGTGGATTGTTTGCATTGGTTAATCACTGATTAGTGATTTTTAATTCAACCTGATAGAAAGTGGCACCTGTTGCGCTCTGCTTGGCGTTTGACATTATTTTGCCTGCACAAAGTTACAATTTTTAATAAAATAAAATAATTCCTGAAACTACCAAGTAATTATCACCGGTTTTAAATTTTTATTTATTAAAATTTTATTATAAATAAAAAGTTTCAATACTTACAATAATAAACGACTTTAAATTTGTTAACAATTTTTTTTAATCACACTCATTGCAAGGCAAAATTATGTCAAACTTGCTTTAAAATTGCAGCAGAATTACATTCCTTATTGACTTTTTTTAAATTAGTTTTTGATTTTAAAATTAAAAAAAAGGAAAACTTTTTTCCACAAGTTCAAGTGAAATAAATTTTCAACTGTAATGAAGGTTTATTTTTAATTTTTTTGGATTATGTTTGTTTGGTCTTTCCAAATAAATTATCCTCCCTTTTGTCATTTCCATAGAATAATGCAATAAAAATTAATTCTGCTGCAATTTTGAAGCTCTTGCATGTTCAGAAGTGATGCACTTTAACGTAGAGATTTTTATTAAGTGCGTCACGCAAATTCAATTATTGCTGGCTTTTTGTTGCCGATTTTGGCCAGCTGTGTGTTGAAGGTTGCCTGAATGTTGGGATAGGGTACCCCTGCTACGCAAAGGGCACACAAGCGGTTTCAAAATCCAAAATTATTGTACGATCGAGCCGCATTGAGGCTCTATTTTTCTCGAGCAAAAATTGTGCTCTGCTAAATTCAAATCAGCCTTCTCGCCAGATCCTATCCTTTAATATGGGGACCCAGGTAAGTGAGGCTCTCTTTCTCATAGACGTATATTTTTATTTAACTCCGGCTCGCAGGACTATTTAATAAAAAATCATTTATTTGGAATAAATGCAGAACCAGTCGGCAGCGTCCTTCCAAAGTTCCCAACTCTCGATAGAAGTCGAACTTTTGACACCAAACTCAACCAGAGTCTGACTATTTTGTGCCCAGCGCAAGCGTTTCCCGTCCCTTCTTACAGGTAATTTCCAGAAAAGGTCCTATTTCAACGTTCAGGTAGCTCTAAAATTTTGTCGGATAGGAAGGACCTTTTATTATCATTTAAAATTTTTTCATTTGGAAAATAGATCCCGTCAGTAGCACTGCTCCGATGATTCCGTCGAAAGAAAAATTTGATGTAGCCGCTCGGAAGTCGGGAGCAAATTTGGCCCTTCTTTGCCAAGCTCAGGGTCATCCTATCCCAAGCTTTAGGTAACCAAACGCAAAGCGATTTTTGAAATTTTCTATTTTTTAAATTAGAACCGATTGGTGCAAAGGCGCCAAAGTACTTCACGGACGACCGAACCCATTCTTTCACTCGCGGCGGCGGCTCAAGTTTTGCCCTTTTGTGTCAGGCGCAGGGCTTTCCTGTCCCTGCATTCAGGTCAGTTTCAGAACTGTTTTTGTAATTTGGGGTTTACGTAACAGATCCGGTGGGAGCGAGAGCGCCAAAATATCATTCGGAAGAAAAAATTCATCACTTGACGCGAATCGGCGGGCAGAATTTCGCCCTTTTGTGCCAAGCCCAGGGTTTCCCTGTCCCTAAATTCAGGTGAGGCTTTAGATATTTTTCTTACGTATAGTTTCCCTTGTCAGATCCCGTCGGTTCAAGAGCACCGAAATTCGCTACAAATGATAAAACGCACTCATTTGACTGGCAAGCTAATTCAGGGTTTGCCCTGTTGTGTCAGGCTCAGGGTTATCCTACACCTTCATTCAGGTGAGCCGAAGTGGCCCTTTTTAAAAATTAAATTTTACCATTTAGAACCGGTTGGTGCAAAAGCTCCAAAATTTTCAACTGACTACGAAACGCTTTCAATCAAGCGTTACGAGGGTCAGGGTTTTGCGCTCCTTTGCCAAGCCATGGGCTATCCAACCCCTTCATTCAGGTTAGTTGTTTTTCAAACTAAATAAAATATTTTTTTATTAAAATAGAGCCGGTTGGTGCAAAAGCGCCAAAATTTTCCTCTGACTATGAGAAGTTTTTCATAAGACGTTACCAGGGTCAGGGTTTTGGTCTCCTTTGTCAGGCTCAGGGATACCCAACTCCATCTTTCAGGTTTGTTAAAAAACCCAGCAAAATTATTGTTATTTCCATTTTAAAATAGAGCCTGTTGGCGCAAAAGCTCCAAAATTCAACTCCGATTATGAAACATTCTCAATAAAAAGACAAGAAAGGCAAAGTTTCGGTCTCCTTTGTCAAGCTCAGGGTTACCCTGCCCCGTCATTCAGGTGAGAAAACTTTACTGAAATATTTTTATTAGAACCGGTCGGCGCCAAAGGTCCAAAATTCTCTTCGGAATACAAAACGTTTTCCTTGGAAAGGGCCCAAGGACAAGCTTACACCCTTTTGTGTCAAGCCCAGGGCTTCCCTGTCCCGGCGTTCAGGTACACAATTTGACGTGGTTCGTAATTAAAACTAATTACATAGATCCGGTTGGTTCGAGAGCTCCCAAATTCTCAATTGGCACCAAAGTAATTTCAATCGAGTACCCTTCAAGAATTAGTTTTGCTCTTCTTTGCCAAGCTCAGGGTTTCCCTGTCCCAGCCTTCAGGTAATTTATTGAAAAGTTCGTTCAACAATAGAGAAATCTAATAATTTTAGATCCGGTCGGTTCAAAAGCACCAAAATTCTCCGTCGATGCAAAAATTGTATCAATTGAGCGAAAATCTGGAAAAGGCTTTTCATTTCTTTGTCAAGCACAAGGCTTTCCCGTCCCATCATTCAGGTAAAATTTTTGAGCAACAAAAGCTCACTCCACCATTTTTCTCTAGATCCAGTCGGTTCGAGAGCGCCGAAATTTTCAGTCAGCACAAAAATTCAATCTGCGGAATTTCCCTCTGGAATTAGTTTTGCCCTTTTGTGTCAGGCGCAGGGTTTCCCCGTCCCAGCCTTCAGGTAAATTTCAAAAGATTTATTTAAATTTTCCTAGATCCGGTCGGATCAAGGGCACCTAAGTTTTCGATCGGCGCTAAAGTACTCGCGTTAGATCATTACGCCGGTCTCGGTTTAACGCTTTTGTGCCAAGCTCAGGGCTTTCCTGTCCCTTTATTCAGGTGAGATGATACTATTTTAAACTCGTCTTTGTTAGATCCTGTTGGATCGAAGGCTCCAAAATTCAATTTGGACACGGAAACGCTTTCCTTCAAAAGAGGATATGGGCTAGGTTTCGCGCTGCTGTGCCAAGCCCAAGGGTTCCCTGTACCTTCATTCAGGTGGGAAGATGGTTTTCAAATATTTTAATTTGCGATTTAATTTAAATTAGATCCGGTCGGGGCTAAAGCACCGGCATTTTCATCAGACGCGAAAAGTAGTTCATACACGCGAACCGAAGGTAGCAGCTTTGGCCTCCTTTGCTTAGCCCAGGGTTACCCTACGCCATCCTTCAGGTTGGTTCCTTATATTAAAAATTTCCCCAATTACAAAATTGCAGATCCGGTTGGATCGAAGGCGCCCAAATTCATGTTGGACACGCTGACTTTGTCTTTTATAAGAAACAGTGGACAAGGGTTCGCACTGCTTTGCCAAGCTCAAGGGTTCCCTGTACCTTCATTCAGGTGGGAAGAATAATTTTGGTATTTATTTTGCGATTTATTTTTAATTAGATCCAGTGGGGGCTAAAGCTCCTGCTTTTTCTACGGATTTAAAGAGCAGTTCATTTACGCGATCTGAAGGCAGCAGTTTCGGCCTCCTTTGCTTAGCACAGGGTTACCCTACGCCTTCCTTCAGGTTGGTCCCCATTTCTTGAAAATATCCCATCATTAAACATTTCAGATCCGGTGGGATCAAAGGCGCCTAAATTCATGTTGGACACGCATACGCTGTCCTTTACTAGAAATAGCGGACAAGGTTTTGCGCTTCTTTGCCAAGCTCAGGGTTTCCCCGTTCCTGCATTCAGGTTTGATTTTGACTTCGCTTAATTTTTAATTCCTTAAATTAGATCCTGCGGGATCAAAAGCACCAAGCTTTTCGTCGGATTCAAAAATCAGTTCGTACACTCGTACGCAGTCGAGCAGTTTCGGCCTCCTTTGCTTAGCCCAGGGCCACCCTACACCTTCTTTTAGGTTAGTAATTTACCAGAGTATTTGCATGACACGGTTCAATTCCAGACCCTGTCGGATCAAAGGCACCGTCCTTCTCAACCGCAACCATTAGTTCAACATTCAAAATGCGATCTGGTCAGGGTTTTAGCCTGCTTTGCCCGGCGCAAGGGTTTCCACCCCCAACATTCAAGTACGTCAAAAACCCCCATTGAAATCTTTATTTAAAAATTTAGATCCGGTCGGTTCAAAGGCTCCAGCGTTCTCCACAGCGTCCAAAAGTTTTACTTTTGACATGCGTTTTAATCAAAGCTTTAGCCTCGTGTGCCCCGCTCAGGGTTACCCCGTTCCATCATTTAAGTAAGTTTAAGTCCCTTAATTAAAAAAAATTCAATTCCTCAGACCCAGTTGGTTCAAAAGCGCCCGCATTTTCCACTGCCTCGTTTAGTTCTTCTTTTAAAATGCGTTTTGGAGAAGGATTCAGCTTGCTTTGCCCAGCGCAGGGGTTCCCAGTCCCTTCTTTCAAGTAGGTCAAACTGATTTTAATTTGGAATAAAAACCAAAAGATCCGGTCGGCTCAAAAGCACCTGCATTTTCCACTACGTCGCTCAGTTTCACTTTCAAAATGCGATTCGGAGAAGGATTCAGCTTGTTATGCCCAGCGCAGGGGTTCCCAGTTCCTTCCTTTAAGTAGGTTCATAAATTTAATTATAAAAAATTTATTATGTAGATCCAGTCGGCTCAAAAGCACCAACGTTTGCTACAGCTTCAAAAGGCTCCATTTTGAGCACAAACAGCGGAGTCAATTTTAACTTGTTGTGCCCTGCTCAGGCGTTTCCTATCCCCTCATTTAGGTAATTATTTACAAAAAATCAAATTTTTCCTTTCGGGTTTATTCAGAGCCAGTTGGATCGAAAGCTCCCGCTTTTTCCACCGACTCGAAAAGTTTCACTTTCGACCGCCAAACGGGTCAGAGTTTCGGTCTTTTGTGCCTGGCGCAGGGGTTTCCGGTTCCAGCATTTAGGCAAGTGCAAAAAATAAAGCGAAAAAATAATTTTCCGTAGACCCCGTCGGCTCAAAAGCGCCCGCCTTTGCGTCAAACTCAAAGACAAGTTCGTACGTGATGCGAGCGGGCCTCGGTTTGACCCTTTTGTGCCAGGCGCAAGGGTTCCCCGTGCCGTCGCACAGGTATGAATGGGAAAAGTCGTTAAGTTGTAGTAGTAGGAGTAGCGTGTAGTGGTGCACAGCGTACTCGTACATTGCGCGAGGAGTGGGAGTAGGAATGAATGGGCGCGCAACAGGTGGCTCATCCACGCAGCCGTGTAAACAAGAAGGGCCTTTGCTCGCTGTGCTCAGTCAGCCTTGACCTTTCCTCCTCGTCTTTGTTCGCAGCGGTGACTGCATTAATTATTTAAAAGTGGCTCGTGTGCGACGACATTGTTGAGGGGTTGTTATGTTCCACTCAAAATTAATTATCGTCTCCAGTAAGGGTGGAAAAAAATTAATTTTGTTTGTCAGGGGTACCCTATTCTAAATGTGAAACAGGCTAAATTTTTATTAATTTATTTGTTTATTTATCAATTTCTGTTAAATTATTTAGATCCTGTGGGAAGAGTGCCTCCAAATCTCCCGAAAAGTTCAAAATCAAATTCATTTGAGGTTGAGACAAATCGCAGTATGAGCTTGTTGTGCGAAGGCCAGGCATTTCCTGTTCCGAATTTTAGGTACTAAATTATATCGTAGCTGGGGTTACTTTTCTCCCGTCAATTCAGGCAATAGGTGAATCATTTTGATTTTAATACATTAAAAAAAATAGATCCTGTGGGCCGAGTTCCTCCAAAACTACCTAAGGGTGCGAAATCTGATTCTTTCGAAATCGAGAATAACAAAAGCATTAGCCTCCTTTGCGAAGGGCAGGCGTTCCCTGTTCCAATATTCAGG